GAAGGAAAAGCCACGGGCACTGCTGCAACACTGTTCTGGGGGCATTAGGAAGAGTCCGAGGAAGGAGATTCTCAGCTGCTCCAGGGTCTGCTTGGAAAAATACACCCCAAGTTAGAACACAGCTCAACATGCTGCTAACACCCCTTAAAGTGTTGCATTTCCTGCAGTGTCTGCAGAATGATTATCTCCATTGATAAGCAGCAGCTTTGCATGGTCACCTCTGATCACAATTTTCTTCTAAGACTGTGACTAGGAAGAGGAAGTGCTAAAAATACTTGTTGCGGGTTTTTGGTAAGCAGGTTTGGGGTGGCTTTTCTCCTGTGCCCCACTATAGTTTTCTGAAGGGCTCGAGTGATGCTCCGAGCTGCAGGGCTGCTCTGAGCAGAGGGAGGTGTGGGTGTCGAGATGGGCATTTCGTGGACACGGAGAGAGTTGCAGCTCTGGAGAAAGGGAAGAGGTCGCTCACTGCGGGAGCCCTGAGGATGTGAAATTCTGGAGAAGGTCTGCGCTGGGACGAGGCACTGCAACCACCAGGGTTAGTCACTGCAGGCGGTCMCCTGCTCGCCGCGGCACCGCGAGCCCGAGTTGGCAGCTCCGCAGCCTCCTCGCCATGCCCAACAGCAGCCTGGCGCTGAGCGGCCTCGACGGCATCTACATCAGCACCGAGGCCCTGATCGCTCTGCTCGCCGTTCTGGGCAACGTGCTGGTGATCTGGGTGGTGAAGCTGAACCCRGCCCTGCGCAACACCACGCTGTACTTCATCAGCTCCCTGGCGCTGGCCGACATCGCCGTGGGCGTCCTCGTCGTGCCCCTGGCCATCGCCATGAGCCTGGGGGTCAGCGTCCCCTTCCACGCCTGCCTCTTCATGTGCTGCCTCATGGTGACTTTCTGCTACGCGTCCGTCCTGTCCCTCCTGGCCATCGCGGTCGACAGGTACCTGCGAGTSAAGCTGCCCATCAGGTGAGACGCGGTCCCTCCGGGTCCCCCAGCCTCTCCTCGACCTTCCCCTGGTCCACGGGCTCTTCCCCAGCACGTGCAGCTGAGGAGCAGCGAAACACGGGGCGCTGAAACGCCCCGGGGCCGAGCCCCGCAGAGCAGGGACCGCGCGCCCCGACCTGCCCGCGCTCATCACGCGGCCACAGCTCCCTCGGGTGCAGGCGGCCACGGCATTTTCTGACCAGCATTTGGCCACAGGATGTGTCTGTGGTCAAGCAGTTTCAATCCTCCGGCTTCTGGCTCCTCGTGCAGTGCATGCTCGGAGCGGTAAAGACTTCCCGGAGTTTCGTTTAGTCATTTAGATATGATTTATATTTGCCTTGGCTAAAAATAGGGGACTAAGAAAACCTTACTCAGGGCTAATAAAAAGATGCAAATGGCTTTTTGTGTTTGAAAGGAAAAGTGAATGCGAGGTAGAAACCCAGAGCATAACCTCGACCATGAAAGAGGTTATACTTTTATAATGCAGAAAGGACCTATAGATTGGAGAGTGAAAAAATAWCGTGGTCATACAAGCAGCATAAGTAAAGTGTAAATGATAAAGTGCATCCAAGGAAGTTGAGAAATAGCAGAGATCTGCTAGAAATACAACTACTACTCAGTTGAGAGCCACAGTGCGATCATAATGAAACAAGAAACAAAATAGCTGAAAATAGACAAGATTATAAGCAAAAAGAGGAGTTAAGCATAGTCCAATTTAAACAGATTCTGCTAAGTGACCATTGTGAAAAGCACTTGTGGCTCATCTTAAGATTCTTTTTCCCAAGGAGAGGGAGCTAATGCTCACTTGCGTCCCAGGGAACCTGCAGTATTGACCATGTGAGTTCTTGAAACCATCCGCAACTATTCCAAATGCTTCTGCTTAGTGTGGCCTGGGTTTTCTTCCTCAACAGATATAAAATAATCTCTACAGAAAGAAGAATTTGGTTGGCACTGGGGTTGTGCTGGTCTGTCTCGCTGCTGACAGGGTTAATCCCCATGTTTGGGTGGAACAACAGAAGAGTCGGCAACCCGGACCTGCTCAAGTGTCGGTTTGTCTCCGTGATGAAGATGGATTACATGGTTTATTTTGGCTTCTTCGCATGGACCCTTGTCCCTCTGGCCATCATGTGTGCTCTGTATGCTGAAATCTTTTATATGATTCGGACAAAGCTCAGCCAAGGTTCAAACAGCGTGAGAGCGGCAGGGACATTTTATGGGCGGGARTTCAGGACAGCCAAATCTCTAGCTCTCGTCCTCTTCCTATTTGCAATATCCTGGTTGCCCCTATGCATCATAAACTGCGTTTCCTACTTCTACCCCAACTGGCCGATCCCCCAGCACTGGATATACTTGGGAATTCTCTTGTCCCATGCCAATTCTGCCATGAACCCTATTCTCTATGCTTGCAGGATAAAGAAGTTCAAAAACTCATACCTTTTAATTTTAAAAAGTCATATGTTGTGCAGAAAAACAGAGCCAGCTGTTCCTACAGAGCAAGCTACGGACTAGTAGCTACAAGTCAAGACCGAACACTGAACTGTCAGTGTTACCAGACAGTTGCTGAAAAGCTTTGCTGCACAACGAAGCTCGTGAGAAGATACATGCTCCGCTTCATGTACTGGCTCCTTTGGGCGAACTCTTCTCTGATAAGGGCAAGTTCCTCTTACTCAGCCCCATGCACATTCCACGTGAAGCCTAAAAGGATCATTTATGATCTCCTGCACAACTACACCCCAAATAACTCTGCTCAGTGCTTGTGGCAAACCCAGATCTTCCAGGCAAGTGTCTTCCTTTCCCAGGACCTTCCCTGGCTTTCTGTTGGCTCGAGTGCTCCTCGGTAGGCAGGTGATGCTGAGCACTGATATCAAGGCGGAGATTTTTTGCTCCTACTTCCTACCTCAGACCTGTTCGGCTGGTAAAACCAACACTTGTTCCTTTCTAATTGTAAGTAGAGAGCGAGCAGTATCAGTTAGGGACTTGGTTTGTGTTTGGGGCCAGCTGCAGCCCCTGTGCATCGCGCGGGCAGCCGGGCCAGAGCCCAGAGCCACCCCGGGAACACACGGCCGCTGTCCTAACCAGGCGCACGCAGAAGAGGGAAGCCGGCCGGGGACGGTGATTGCGTCTGCCGTGAAAGATAACGGCAGCTCTGGCTTCCTCTGCACTCCTCACTCCCCACGCCGGGGTGCAGCCAACCCTCACCCACCCATCAGTGACTTATTTTCCACGTTTGTCACTTAGGGCTACCCACGGCAGGGATTCGTCCTGCACAACGTATTCCTGCACTTACCCTATAAGCAGGATCTGCTTTCCCAACACTCGAGTCAAGCATCGTTTGCTGCAAGTGAAGGTCGTCTGCTCTCAGCCAAACCTTTGCAAACCTGGTGAAAAGCTTCTCTTTTTGCAACCACCTGTTACAAAACAGACTACTCTGAACTGCAGTTCAAAGTGGGTCTCCCATGTGTATTTATACACATAATGTATATACATGTATATGTATGTTTATCTTTTTATTAAATCATTTAAAAAGCGAGAAGATAGTAATGTCTTAAAAAAAAAAAAAAAAAACTCTTTTCCTTCAAGAATCAAAAAAGCAGCCCGAGTGAGACTCCTCTATTGCTTTAGAAGTTAGAAGATCCTGCTTAGAAATGCCAGCAAGGATCACACTRCAGCTTGCAGCATCTGTCTTTAGGGAACATGGGCCAAGCTGAAAAGAGGTGATTCAAGGCAAGGATTTTAAACTGCATTTTTAAATAATAAAAGCAGTCAAGAAAGCAGGAGGGCAGGGTAATCCTGCTTTATTTGGCTCAGAAAACAGAAGCGTAGTCTTCTGCTCTTTTACATAAGATCAGACATCTCAACTTTCCATTTGATGTAATCTTTGCCACAGAATAAAACTCTGCCCTGTTGCCCAGTTCAACTCTATTAACAAGCAGGCCAGCGAAGGAAGTCGCTGCGTAAGCACACAGTTTTGCTCTGCAATCTCTCCTGATCAGTTCATGAAACTCCYTTCAGCAGAGGCGCTGCCTGAACATGAGGCAGGGCAGTACCCACCTGCCGGAGCCCCCGGAGATGCTCTGCCGACCCTGGGCCGAGGGGCGGCGGGCAGCCGGCGCAGCCTCCGAGGGCACCACGGCGCACGGCTCATCCCGGCTGCTGCTCTGAGCCCTTAATCCTGTCCCTGGAGCTGCCCATCTGCTCCCGGGCGGCGCTGGCAGGAGGATCTTCACAACCGAGCAGGGCCCCGAGTGTCGCTTCTCGCGGTGAGGCTGGAGACGCCCTAGACACAAAGCCAAGAGGTGAGTGCTGAAGATGAGTGAAGCCCCACGCGAGGTGCCCTTGTGCACCCTGCGCTGGGGAACACCAAAGGATCAAGGATGCTCTCGCGAGAGGGGACTGAAACGTGCTCAGCACCRGCCGAGCAAGACGCAGTCCAACAGACGTGTCTGCGTCACCTCTGGTTCTGGTAAGAGCTTTGTTTAAACACTGCAACCAGATGATCTGTTCCAAAACATCAGGACACCGCTSTCCACACAAGCTGTGTCGCTCTCTGCTAACTGGTTGCTGGCAAAATGAAGCAATAAATGTAAACTGGGTGAAACAGAGCTGCCCACCTGTGAGTTTTTGCTGCCATCAAGTGGACATTTAGTCTTCCTTCTAGGGGAGCTTCTCTCAGGTCTGTTACCAAATACAGACTTCCGTGGGAACGCATAGGAAGCTGCAAGACCCAAGACGTTTCTCATGCCCAAAACACTTCTCTAGAGGCAGTTACAGTAACACATCATCAGTCATCCAAACCATTTTCCAGGATCTCATATTCTCAGGTGCCAGAAACAAGGACGCATCAGAACTTGAGAGGGCTGAGGTGTCACGGGRCAGAGCCGTTGCAGCTCTTTCAGGTGCGTTGCAAGATGCACAGAGCACTGCGCTCCTCAGGCTCTGCACGAGTCAGGCACAAATCAACGTGCAAAGAGGCCACGCTCCTCTACAGCTGCAAAGACCGAATGACCAGAGGTAACTTCTTCCCTATCCTCTGAAAAGAAGGCAATTTAAAATTTCCAAAATACTTAGAGTGATCCAAACCATCATTTCCACAAGTTTTGACTGTAACAATATGATCATGCATTTCAGCATGTAATGACGCTTTAAAGGCGACAAAGTTAGGAAGTTTATTCTTGTGATCCACTCAGGAAACAAATTTGCATGAAGAGATTTTATTATCATCACTTCACTGAGCAGAAAGGTTAAACAGAGCACAGAGCACTTGGCAGTCAAAAAAAGCAAGAAAAGTCACCTGTAGCCAGTAAYCAAACAGAGAAACATACGTACAAATGTATATAGGCACAAACGTACTTATGCACAGAGAAGTACAAATAGGAAAAAAATACTTGCTTTAGCTCTGTTTGAAAGCAATAGCAAAAAAAAAAAAAAAGGAAACAACAAAAGTGTATTGCAAGAACTCTCAGACATTTCTACAGAKGAAGTAATCTGTAAAAATCAAATTATTTGTCCACAAGTGTTGGGGAGCAGCTGGAAGGGAAGGCCTTAACTCTCCCTCCTAACTGCAAAGCTAGCTGATGTTACATACTGCAATGTTGGCAGCATTCCTTAAAGCAGGACATGATTTGATACAACTCCAAGAGCACGGCACTTGCAGAGTGTGAAGGCGTCCCCATTCCAGCAGAAGCTGTGCACATCATCATACAGTGCCTGGGGCCACAGCTTGCTGGAGGACCAGAGTGGCATAGGTAACCTCATCCTGGGGCTGCAGAGAAGACGCAAGGTTAGAGAATGCATCAATATTACATTTCAGCATGAATTTCCCACCTCTAATTTTGTTTTCAGTGATAAGACACCCTATGTGGTCACAGTCTGCCCTTGAGCATGAGAAATCAAGTCAATGCTGTGCTGGATCAGACAAAATGTTAGGCTAGTTCAGGATCCTGCAAAACACTAAGTACTAAGGGCTTCTAAAGAATCAATTTAATTAAGACAAAAACAAAAACCCTCTCCCCAACCCTAATTAATGGTTTGGCGCAGCCCTGGAATATGTGGTGAATGCAGCATTCAAGCCCCTTAACACAGTAAGAACAGCTATCCTTCCTTCTAGCCACTTTCTCAGGCAACGCTGGGACTGCTACAAACTCAGGCTGAAGCCCAAGATGCAAAAGTCGCATTTTCTGCATCGAAGGGACAGCAGTCACAAGACCTGCTGACTAACACTTGAGTCTGTCTGCAAGAGCAAGCCTCCTTTCTCACCTCCAAGTTAATATTTATCATTTACCCCCCAAAAATGAAATCTCTGCATAAAGTATCAAAACATGGAACAGTTCTGACATTTACCTGGCTGTTCCCAACAAACGTCTCACAGGCCTCCTGAGGGTGAGCTTGCTCCTGGAAGTTTTCTTGAGGTCTCTTACGCCCTAGGAAGGAGACACAGCAATACCCACCTCAGCCTTTTACTTGCATGTTTGGAGAGACGAGGAGGAGGTTCTGTGGGTCACTGTCAGCCAGGGGGAGAAGGCAAGTAGCTTATCCCCATTGGCACTTCTTTCTATGGCTTCTGTCTGGTATTTACTGACAAGATAGCAAGTCTTTAGTCAACACAACCCATCCCTGCAAGAGCTGTCATCTCAAGGCCAAAGAGAACATCTGTTGCCTGTCCGAACTTCTGACTGGGATGTTCTAAGTGCAGAGCTAGGGAGCAATTAGGACCCAGGGGGTTAGTCTGTCCTGGAAATAAGACAAATATGGACAAAAGATCTCCCACACCAGCGCTATGGTTAGTTCTTCTGGTAAACAGACCCTTATGAATCTTTGACCTTYGAACCCAATTATTGGGGACAATACAAGAAATTACCACTGAGAACGATCATCGAAACTGTAATGATCTACTGAAGCAGTCACAACCCAGAGTGTACTTATAAAAGTATAAATAGCACATCAGTTATTTTAAAAGAAACAAGAACTCTATGACAAATCTGCCCTACTTTAAGATTCAGCAGGAAGAACACAGAAACTCAGCACTATGCCTAAATGATGCATAAAATGTGTAGCACAATCTCTTTTTTTTTGCCACAAGTTTGAATAAACCATTGCCTTGAAACCATTGCTTTGCCTCTGATATTCCCGCTATCGTCTCACTTACTTTTTCTGATAAGGTAGACAACTGCAAAAAAGAAAGCACTTGACAGGATGCCAGAGATATAGGCTAGCAACATGTAGATGATTTCAGGGCTGCTAATACACAGAAAAGAGTGTCAGAAACACCATTACTTTAAAAAAAAAGGCTAAATAAACTCTAATTTTGATATCCATCAAACATTATGGAACATAATATATCATTTATCCCAAAGTACATARGACAACAAGGTGTTTGTGAAGTATCAATGTGAATTAAGCATCTAATGCATAGAGCAGGAAATCCTGAGCAATTTTTAAAAAACCTGACACACAACACCCTGCCCTGAGAGCAGTCTGCAATCTCAAGGCRCACTTACATTTAAACTCAGGAAATAAAGGTGTAATATTTACTTATCTATAAAGCAYTGGACATCTGAAGCTCGTGAGTCAGCAGGAGAGGTGTAGACAGCGCTAGGTGCAGTGACAGTAGAGGTAGCGACTGCGGTATGTGCAGTGACAGCAGCAGGAACAGGTTCTCGTGCAACAAGAAATGAATAGAAAATAYAGTTGCTTAAAATGTGTTAATTTATCCATTAATACTGCAAGTGACAAACTCTACATAGCCAGAGGCATATTCCTACTTAAGAATTAAGACATAAGATGCAAGTAAATGTTCATACAAGTATAACAGCTTTCTATCAGAAAGATGAAAATTAACAYGCTGAGCTGAAAAAAAAGTACTATTTAACAACAGCCTTGGAAAGTCATCAGTTATGCTGCAATTTCCCAAATTCATAGATCTATTTTTACTCCCCAGCAGCCTTTTTTGAGTCAGGACAACATCAGCTTAGTAAAGACTGAATCTACACGTATTCCTYGAAGAAGTAGATACCTGTATATGACTGTGAGGARGAAGATCCCATTCTCTCCAAACACGGATGGATAAACTACAGAGGGGAGAGGAAAAAAAAAAGTTTATACACATAAACACACAGTATTGATAAAATAGTACATACTACAAGAAGCTCGCTTTTCTCCGTGATTTAGAATAGAGCAAGACAAACAACACCTTCATGTAGCCCATGGACTTTTTAGTCATTATCACCGTTTTTGGTATCTTAGCCCTCTTTCTCTCCCCACACCCTTACTTTACAAGCTAGGTGCAAGCCACACGCAAGTTTGCACAAAGCCCACTGAAAGAAACCTGCAGTGGGAATCCTAGTTGAAGTCTTGTTCTTGGGTGTCTAYGCACATATGCACTGCGCTCTCGTGCACACACTGCCAGATCTCAAAAGGAGGAAACATGCTAGATGCTAGAACAGGTAACTATGCAAGATTTCATAATCTGAAACAATTTTAACAAAAATTCTTTCTTAAGTTCCTCCCCTCCGAGTTTACATCTGCTTTTCCATCAACACAAGAAAGTATTTGGATATGCAACCTCACTGGAATTAAAGATAAGGAACTGTTAAGTTTACTGTAAAATTACCCCCAATACTCCTCATATTAAGCCTGAGAGAATATTGAGCCTTTTGGAACCTGAGTTGCCTGAGTCAAGTGTACTGCGTTTGCAGTAATAAAATAGCAATAAATGATAAAATATTTATCTTACCTTGCACCAGAAATGTTGCTGTCTATACAACAGTAGAAAACTTTTGAAGGTTTATCACCACAATAACCTCTTGCTTCGTGAAAAAAACCCTGGCAAACTACTCAGAGCTCAAATATCATTCAAACATTGGGTTACACAAATGCGGAAGTTCTGCAACTTCAGTTTCCTTTTTTATTTTTTTCTTTTTTTAAAGAGGAAATATGAAAAGCCCTCTATTTTCAGGAACTGTTGCAACATCTACGTAACAAAACATTAAGTGTACACTACTTTGCCTACTTATGTCATAAAAAAAGGATACTAAATGAATCACTTCCAAATGTGGGAGATTGGAGGTATTTAACTGCCTAGCTCTACAGGGACATGTATTTGAAATGTAGCACCATCTCTGAGGAAAAATAGTTTTCCAAATAAATAACGATGTCAGCCCAACAAGTATTATCATACTTGTCATTGATACTCATTCCTTGCTATGTATGATAATGAGCAAGCTTTTCCCAGAAAAAAATTCTCAAGAGCAAGTTTATCCGTCTAGTTGCTTTAACTTTTCCATTGGTGACTTCAGCTGAAGCATTCAGCTGGGTTTTGCTCTATTTTCTGTCCGCAACATCCTCTTTTCCACAGAAGAGGAAGATATTTTCTTGAAGTTATATTACAGGTTTTTGTCTGTCTGTTTGAAAAAGCACCTTGATCATCTCCATATCTTGGATAGCTTACTAAGTGTATGGGAGCATTAACACTCTAAAACACCCAYAGTAACAATGGTTTTAAGTGTAGGTCATAACCACAAATAACTAAAACCAGTCACTCTTACAGCTGCACAGTGAAAATGATCTTTTCATGACCAAACCAGGAACCATACAGAACTGCACGTGCGGTGGTTTTAAGCCCCCACTTTTTTCTCTCACTACAGCAGTTTATCTTGGAGACCAAGCTACCACAAGTGCAAGAAGGAAACCAGYGTACAAGTCAAGAGTAAGAGACTTCTTTAATTATTAGAATCGTACAGTTTCCAACAATAAGCCATAGAAGACAAGTCTACGGAATCAGATGTTACGGGGTTACGCTGTCACGTGTGCGCTCTTCGATAACGCTTTCAGGTCTAAGATGCACTTCGCAATACTCTCCTTTTGCTGCAGAAGAAAAGACAATCCCTTTAAGACAATACACTTGGCAAAAGATACTTAAGCAAAACATCCGCCATAATGAACTTCAGATTTTCCCTTTGGACCCATTAAATGCAACAAAGATTAAAAGAGATAATATTATAACTCATGAAGACAAAGAATCAAATCCAGACTGTGGCTTATATTAAAGTATCTGCAAGCAATGCTGGGGACGTTTGTTTTCTTGTTCTCAGGTTTGTTCTTTACAGAAAGGAAGTCTACAGTCTCCTTGTATATCCTAAATTACTGAAATCTTACATGAGGAATTTTACAAGCAACTTCCCTGACCTGTTGGCTATAAATCTTTCTTCAAGCTCAGCACTGTGGTGGAGTGCATTCAAACAACATGAATGCTTTGAGCTCGAGCCACCAGCAGCATCAGCACCTGGTAAACAATTACTGGACACATTAGCTTTTACTTAGCAGCAGAAACACATCTGAGCTCAACCTGGAAGTCACCAAGAGAGACCTTCCAAGCCAGAAGCCCTGTCCAGTGTATTTTTACAGAYTGAAATGTAAAAAGAGATAAAAAACACATGAAATACCTGCTGAGGTGTGATGCTCTGAACAACATTTTTCTCCACCCACTGAATCATGTGATCTTGTTCTTTCTGACGCTTCAAATGCTGCATAGCCACTTGATAGTCCAACCTCTTCTTTACTTCATTGTACACTGTCAGCAGCCTTTCTCGGTAGTTAGCTTCGAGCAACATTGCGATGTTATTCTAACACAAAGGACAACACCAGCTGGTTAACATTAGGCAAAAAAAAAAAAAAAGCAACCGAACACAGTTCTGTACCAGAAGTCTTYACATTAGGTGGTAAAAATGGACAAGTCTGTGACACACACGCTGCAAATGTTTTGTTACTTGTTATCAATCCAGGAGGATTATGTATAGTGAGGAGAACAATAAAAACCAACAGTAAGGCTAGAGAGGCCTACCCGCTTGGCATCRAAGAGAAAACTATGGCCCTCAGCTCTCCACTGCTCCTTCTTCTCCTGTTCAATTGCAGTCTCAAGACTTTTAATTGCATCATTCTTCACAGCTAAAGCTGTGGCCATTTTCTCCTGGAAAGTAAAAAATATACATTTTATAAATATTTATGTACACACTATATATATTAAACGTAATAAAGATGAATAAATGTAATATGTAACATAACAGACACTTCAGAATGAACGCAAGAGGCAAGGCAAACAAGTAAGCTGTAACTACTTCTCTAAATTCTCCATTACATTTTGAGAATTGTTTCTGCAAACTGAGTAGTGTCAGGTTTGAGGTCAAGAGTTGACAAGATGGAAAAATTATGCTTCGCAATCAATTTTACTTTTTAAATTATTCCATTAAGTACTTGTGTTAACATAGACTCTTTTTCATTTCAAAGACCTACATAATATTGATAGAGAATCTATAAAATCCTTACGTAAGCGCTGTTCTGAAGATCTAAAGCATGATTGGGGTTGGACTAGATGATCTCTAAAGGCCCTTTCCAACCTTAAGGATTATATGACACTATGATTTTGACCTATGACTTAGGCACATGCCTAAATATTAAACTTAGAAGTTTAACATTTAAAGTTATTAATATTAAAGAGTTGCCAGTACAGAGTTAAATTGACATTTCTGTTCTCACCTCATTAAGTTTGTCAGCAAAAGCTGCTACAGCAGACCCATATTTTTTAACACCATAAATCAAGACTGTCAATATGCAAGCACCTGCAACAGTCTCATGGTTAATTACGTAGATTTCTTTAGAGAGTAAATAAAGCAGGAGTCCAGTTCCCAGCATATAAGGTCCTAAAAAAAGAAATGAAACAGCATTAGGGGCATGTGGTCAAACACCTTAYTATTATCATTCATGTCAAACACCAAAAACAGGGGTAGCTTCCAACAGCCAAGAGGAATGTCTCATTTACTGCCACACACTGAGCAGCAACGAGAGCACTGAACAGCAATGAGAACACTCTATATCAATGAGATGSAGAGGTAAATTACACCTTCAGTGGGATTTGCAGCTCCTCCTTAATCACCAGCAAGCAAAACTCTCTCCTTATAGACTTTTAGAGCCAGTAGGAAAATAMATCTATTTTTTTCAAGGATGTGTTATGCTTTTAACCTGTCTTTAAGGAACAAGGAAGAGTAAACGGGAAAAGTCCTGAGTGCCTCAAGAAATAATTTATCAYGTAGAACCAGGCATTTAACAAAATAAAAGAACCGCTCCTCCTCATATGGCAAATTATGCAGCTTGCTTYCTGCACATCCAAGGTGCTCACACCAAAGGGCCAACCTTTGCCCTAACATTCTAGCTATTTACCTTACCAGCTATTAGCTGCGAACACAATGATAAAATAAAAAATCAAAGAACATGCAAACAGATACGTTTATTAACCTGTGACTCCTGTTTTGGGGTAAAGAAACTGGAAGAACTCCTCAGGGATCAAACCATAGCGTACTTGTCCTGGTTTCTCGGGCAGAGGTGGCAGAGGAGCCGCGCACTGCTGACTGGCATGGAGGGTTCTTTTGGCATGCAATATGCTGTAGATGAGGAGAAAGAGTCCATCAAATTAACTACCACGAAAAAAGCAACAGCAGCCGCCTTCGGTGCTGCTCGAGGGTGTTTCCCGTGACATGGAGGGGCCTTGGGGAACGGGCTGGGCCTGGACAAGCTCCAGGGCTGCCTCCCAGCGTGGCTGTTGCAGCAGGCCCCCTGGGAAGGTGAGGGCTACGCGGGAGGGCCGGGGTCAGGGCAGGGCCGGAYCCCCGGGCAGGTCAGCGCGGCTCGCGGGGAAGGGCCGCTGAGGGAGCCGCCAACTCACCCGGCCGTGACGGGAGGCGGCAGGTTCTTCAGCGCGGCCGGGGCTGCGGGGCGAGAGGGGCAGAGAGCGCGTCAGGACGGAGGCCCCTCACCACCAAGCACCCACCCAACAAGCACCCACCCCACCATTCCACCCACCCCACCATTCCACCCACCCCACCATTCCACCAACCCACGACCCGCCCGCCGGCGCTGCTCACCGGCGCGCAGGACCAGGCGGGAGAACATGGCGGCGGCGGCAGCGGCTGTCACCGACCCCGCGTCCCGGTCACCGCGGCCCGCCCTCCCGCCGCCAAGATGGCGCCGCCTCAGCTCTCGCGAGAGGGGCGGGCCGGGCTCTCGCGAGAGCCGGCGCGGCGCGGGAGCACGTGGGGCGCCGGCCCGGGTCCCGCGCGCCAACATGGAGGAGCCGCCGCCGCCCGAGCAGCCGCCGCCGCTGTCGCCGCTGTCGCCGCTGTCGCCGCTGTCGCCGCCCCCCGCCGAGGCCGAGGGCCCGGAGCGCGAGCCCGACAGCGGCCCCGGCGCGGGGCCCGGGTGGAACCTCCCGCCCAACGCGCCCGCCTGCATGGAGCCGCACCTGGAGCGCGCGCACTACCGCGCAGGTACCGGGCCGCGGCACGGCGGGCACGGCGGGGACGGGGCGGGCGCGGGGCCGCGGCCTCAGCGGCGCCCTGCGCCCCCGCAGACGGGGCCCTGCTGCTCGGCGCCTCCGCGCTCAGCGGCCGCTGCTGGTCCGGCTCCATCTGGGTGTTCGGCGAGCCGCGGCGCGCGCCCAGCGAGGGCTTCTGCACGGCGGGCGTGCAGACCGAGGCGGGCGTCGCCGACCTCTGCTGGGTGGCCGACAAGGGCATCCTGGTGGCCTCCGACTCCGGTGAGCGCCGCCGCGCCCCGCTCGGGATTGGGGGGACCCCGTTCCTGGGGGATGTGGAGGCTTCTCTCTCCTTTTCTGGGATAGGGGTTTGGGGGGACCCCTTTCCTGGGGGGTGGAGGTGGTTCTGATCCCTTCTCTGGGATAGAGGTTTGAGGGGACCCCTTTCCTCGGGGATTTGGGCGGTTCTGATCCCTTCTTTGGGATAGAGGTTTGGGGGGGATCCCATTCCTGGGAGATGTGGAGGGTYCTGACACCTTCTCTGGGATAGGGGCTTGGGGGAACCCCTTTCCTGGGGGACGGAGGTGATTCTGACTCCTTTTGTAGGGATAGGAGCTTGGGGGAAGATGCTTTTTTCCTGGGGGATACAGAGGGTTCTGCCCCTTTTCCCGTGATAGGGATGTGGGGACCCAATTCCTGGGAGCCGGGGGGTGTTGGTCGCACTGCTGTAGTTGGGGGTTCCTGGCGCTGTCTTCGGGGGGAGGTCCCTGCTCCCCAGSCCTGAGCATCGCAGAGCTCTGTGGCCCCAGAGCAACTCCTGGAGAGGTGTCCTGGGCCGCCGTGTCCATCAGCCGCTTCCCAGGCCATCCTGAGCGAGGGGGACGGGAGGCGGCGGCGGCTGCCGGCGCCTCTCGCTGCTCCGGGGCTCGGCCTCACCTGCCCTTTCCCAGGCGCCGTGGAGCTCTGGGAGCTGGACGAGAAGGAAACCCTCATCGTGAATAAATTCTGTAAATACGAGCACGACGACATCGTGATGGCAGTGAGCGTCCTCGCCAACAGCATCCACGCTGTCAGCGGCGGCCTAGACTTCTGGTGAGCGCTCCTTGCCCTGCCCTTCCTGCTCCCGGTGATTTCCTGTGGCTCTTTCTAACGCCTTGCTTTTCTGCGCAGTGTGAAAGTGTGGGACCTGCCCCAGGAAGCCGTGYTGCACTCCTACAGAGGTGAGCGCCACGCGGGCCTGTCAAAGGGGTCCTATATACAAATATAGCCTATAAAATCCCGCTTGTCTTTCTCCTCTCAGTGCATTTACAGTTTCTCTTGACTGAAATCTTTGTTGGAGTTGTGTGTAACCGTGTGATTTTCTGTTGCACGTTTGAAAAGAATTCACTGGAGATACAGGATGGCATCTTGGGAGAGCTGTGCTCCCTAGTCACAGCAGAGGTGGAGGAAGCAGAGGCTTCAGCCGTTCCTTGCTCTTCTGCTCTTCCCTCCCTCCTCCAGCTCAYGTCTCATCTGTCAGGGCTGCTTTGTGTTCAGGAACAATCACAGGGACCTGACTGCAGGGGCTCTAGTTGGATTTGACAGCTCATGAGTTTGGTAGGAAATACTTGAATATCAGCGAGTTACCTTGTGTCTGGGCATAAACTGTCTTGCTCTTGGTGCTAGGCCTCAGGAGTTGCTAGGCGCCTTGTCCCTATTATGTGCTTGAGCGTTGGGAATACGCAGGAAGGTTGGATACAGCCTTGCAGACTCTTTATCCTTTGGTGCTTTTTGCAGCTCATGCCGCTTCAGTGACATGTGTGGCTTCCTGTCCTGGTAAGGACACTATGTTCCTGTCCTGTGGCGAGGTAAAGCTAATTCTGTCTTAAAATCACTCTGATACTGTGAGATTTAACTTTAAAATTTGTACAATTAGGTACCCTTGCTGCTAAACTTGTTGCTCTTGTTATGTTGTGTCCGGGTGTGTTCCAGTCAGAGTATGCTCAACAGTTGTTGTACAGATTTGTATTAAAATGTGGGGTTTTAGAGCTGTGTTCTAGGGCTGAATGAAGGAGCTAACCTGTTGTTAACGGCAGCATCATTTTAAATATGAAGAAAAAGGGATGCAGGGTGCAGATTATGGCTAAGGGTGCAGATTATGGCTATGGGCTGGCAGGATAGTCCATCTGAAAGTTTATGCTTACCTGTGCTGCAAAGAAATTGTAAAAACCTTTTTATTCACTTTGGATTTATAGGATGGCAGAACTTTAGTGTGGGACACCAGATGCCCCAAGCCAGCTACTCGAATTGGTACGTTCCTCTGCAGTCACTGCTCGTGTGTGAGTTCACAGGGGAAAGAAATGTCCTAGTGTCGTGCTCATTGAGACATTGTAGGAAAATCTCTGCACTGACCACCCTCTRTGCACTCCTGTCTGTTTGTCTACTTACAGTTTGCAGTGCCTGTAGTTACCTCCCTACCTCAGCCATGTGGCATCCACAAAAAAGTGACGTTTTTGCTTTGGGTAAGAAGCAACCGCATYGTCTGGCTAGCGCTGGACAAATCCCTTTCACGTGGCAGCTTTGCTAATAAATAACCTTATACCTTCTTACTCCCAAAGGTGATGAAAGTGGGACAGTTGCACTAGTAGACACAAAGATGCCTGATTCTGCCCTCAGTGCTTCTGTGCATACCCGATGTATCACGGGCTTTGCGTTTTCTGCACACAGGTACTGCTCAAGAAGTGGCTGTAAAGAGTACAACTGTACATGCTTGGAGGTTCTTAGGATAAAGCAAAGGGGAGAGCTAGTTCTGGCCTTTCTGCAGGGGAGGGTCATAATTCACTGTAACCTGGGTGGCATTCACTTAAGTTTTGCCTAAAATGCTTTCATACATTTGATTGCTCTAATACTGGTCTCCTCTCTCTTCTGTAGTTCACCCTTCCTGGCTTCAATCAGTGAAGACTGTTCAGTAGCTGTTCTTGACTCAAACCTTTCAGAGGTGTAAGTACTAGACAAACATTTTCTATTGCAGCTTACTGACTTCTAATGAACTTTTTGTCCACATACTGGCAGAAAAATACTTCTTAAATTTKGGAGATTCAACAACAGCAGTTTGAAAGATAGGAACTGCCAAAAGCTCATAAACACTCTTAGGCAGCGCTTACGTCTAAGAGAATGTTCCTCTCTTCCAGGTTCAGAAACCGTTCTCATCAAGACTTTGTAAAAGGCTTATCGTGGTCTCCTTTAGACAATGCCTTGCTCACTACAGTTGGATGGGATCACCAGGTTTTACATCATGATGTACCACTACCAACTGCTGAAGCTTCTGGGATCAACTGTGTAAAAGAATAGTTTTATAAACTCACTGGTCCCAGTTCCTTTCTGGTGTTACTTGGATTCTGCTGCAGTCAAAGGTGTTTGTGAACCGGAACGGGTGTAGTCTGTTGTCTGCCTTCACGCTTGTGGCGAAGAAGGTTCCTGTAGTAGTTAGTTAGGCACAAGTTCAGTACAGAACAGGCTTTACCTTCTCCTTAGCAGTGACTTCACCTGTGATAAGACTTCAGTATGTTGCACAGAAAAATATTGACTTTAAGCACAGAGGAGGCTTGGAGAGACATGCAGTTTGGTATAATAAAAGTTAATTCTTCTTCCTGTTCTTTAGGAAGTAATAGAAACAAGTTATTTAGGTTAAAAAAACCCTCCTGCCATAATTAGCTGAATGTGAAGCCCTTATCTGCACCAAGATTTTTGCTAGTGGGATAGCATGACTTGTTATTAAGAACAGCATAAATTCATCCTTCCACCTGTGGAAGGAGACTTGCCCCAGCACAGAGAGCAGAAAGGCTGCACTGCTCCCCTCAACGCAGGGTGCAGGGAGAGGGTTCCTCTTAGCTCTCTGCCTGGGAGCTCCCACAATAAGCACTGCGCTCTGCTCGGTGGGAGGAATCTTGTGCCCTGTCTGATAAGGTTCCACAATGCAGCCCCACTCTGAAGCACCTTTGTGTTTCAGTGTTACAGACACTGAAATCCTAGGAGCTGCAGTACTCTGCATTGCCCTGAAGCTGAGGCCGGCTCGAGGGGCTGTTGTGAAGAATGCAGGCAGCCAAGAGAAGGTAGCAGTTGTGCTGTCTGACACAGTTTCCACTCCTCTGTGCTGAAGACAATTGAAGTACTTGTATACTGAAGTATATTGAAGAGTAAGAAGAGTTTATATAAAGTAAAACTGGAATAAGGAGTTCAATTTTCAGTTGTTTGCTCCTCTAACAAGACTCTGCTTAATGATATATTAAGGCAACTTATTATACACTTGTCCTGAGTGGCATTTTGTGCTGAAAATAAGGAGGGGGGTACCCCAAACGTTCCACAATCCCCAGAACTGACTGCACAACACCTTTGGGGTGTTTTTTTGTAACATACCACTTAAATTTCTCTCAAACTAAACTGTTACCCTGGAACATGTTATAAAGTTGCTTTGCATGCATTGCACTGCTCTTGGTCAGAGCTAACATTCCCTACACCAGTAAAAGTGGGTCCCAACTGGTGAAACAAAGAAAATGCTATTAAAGTGAATGCTACTGCTGTTTGTTTAGCATGCTAGCACCACTAAGGGACACACAAGCTACTTCTAGTGCATTCAACTCTGTTCTGAAAGATGTAAAATAAGCAGCACCCGCAATTAATTTTTAGGCAGATTAGGCATTTCTAGTGTTGTGTCTTTGAATTCCAACACCATTCAGTTGTTCACAGAAKGAAGTTCCTGATCTAGAGCAGTGTATTATAAGAGCAAGATACATGATTATGAAAACTGACATATTTCCTCAAACCTAACCTTCCACACCAACAAGAAATTATGTGTTACAGACCTCTGGCAGCAGATTGAAAACTGAAACGGATCTTGTGCTATTTGTGAAACAGATGGATGTCTGAAAAAAATGGCTGTTTTAAAATAAATCAGTTTTCATTTGTAACTGGCTGCAAGTTTTCTTCAGGCACTTCTGTAGTATTTTTCAGCTTAGGTTCAGTTATAACAGCTTTRTGTATAATGCTAAGGTACTGCAGGTCCTCAGCACTAGTACAAGGCAGGCCAAAAGCCCTTTGACTTTTWAAAAGATACTTTTTTCTTTTTCAAAGCCTCAAGTAGGATATAACCATACATTGCTAAAATGAAGAGTTTCAAGTATCAAAGAGATTAGTACAGATAAACTCAATAAGTTTGCCTGGTTTAAGCAAAACACCACAGACCAAAGCAAAAGCAGATGTAATCCAAGATGAAGCTCTTGTGGAGTTAGTTGCTTGTAATTACAGAAATATTTTCTTAGCAGAAAAAAAGTGTTTTCAGCAACTCCTGCAAATCCTGCAGCTCGTTGGACTAAGCTTGGTGTTCTGCCACAGGAGGGCAGCAGCTGCTAGCTGGACAGCACAGCAGCACGGCTTTAAAAACATTCCTTTAAGAAGTACCTGCCTCTAATATAATTTATCTTTGTTTTTTTCACCATGAAGTGCAATGCACAAAAAAGACAGTTTGCCTAAGTAGTGACTACSTTGTGTTATTTTGTCTGCTAAGTGAGTGTACCATTGCTATCAAAGCTATATTAAATAGTAACATCTACATCACTTGCATCATGCAAGCAGCTTTGCAGAAACACCGACAACCACATCAATGGTAGTTGGTTTAGGAATTATCTGCAAAGGAATTGGAGAATTTCCTCAGTTTTGTGGGATGTTCACACCGTCAGGGCTAATTTACATGTGTCTGAAGTCAGGGGTCACTTTCCTTCCATAAATACACTGCGGCTAGAGCAAAAACTCCAAAGCATTGCACATTTTGCTAATRGAAAACCTTGCTCTGTAGCCAGAGCAGGATTAAAGCGATGGGAATGCAAATAAGTATAATTTAGCTGAGCAGAGAGAGTGAGCMACTGAGACGACGAGCCTGCCTTTTATGTCCTTGCATTGCTCACACTGCATTTTCAATTTTAAGAACAGTCTAGTTAGGACTTGCAAATGAGCATGCAGGTTTCATTGCTAATGAAAAGCTCAAAACCAAGAGTTCTATTTATAGGAGAAGCACAAGCTGAACTGTGGAGGCTCTGCTGCCAGCCTGCCGAACCAGCYGGGTGTGCGCAGGGTTGCACCGATGCACACCCAGCTGCCCATTTAGTTCTTCTTGCTCAGGCTCCTGAAGACATCCAAGGTGCCACAGGGCTTTGCAGCAACAACAGGGGAGTAGCAGTTGGACCAAGCCCTAGGTAAGAAGTAATTCAGACTATTGCTGAGCCCAATTTCAGCTGCTGTCCTGTCATTTTAATCTCCCATGCAAAAGAGCTCGATTTTACAGTACATGAACTATTTTAAAGCAATACTTAAAAAAAAAAAAAGTCAGACCACACATGCAAGAAAACAATACATCCAGACACGTTTAATGCAAGAAGGTTGATGTTCCATGTCACTCATAAATAAGAGACTTTGTTAACAGACTTTACAAGTAAAGCTCTCAGTTACACCACGTGAGCAGCTGCCTTTGAGGAGGAGACAGCTGCAGGGGACAACTTAGGCTGTATCAAGCCTCGAATGACCAAACTCAGGGCTGAAATACCAGAGGAGTTTCGCTGCCGGGTTTCCCAACAGCTTCCTGCACCGTGGCCCAGCTGCGAGGTCKATTGCCCTGTTGCCACACCTGAGTCTCCCTCCTCTATTGCTAAACTTACACAGCAAAACAGAGCCGGGGAGGAGAAGAAACGGGAGTCAGAGCTGATCTGCGCGCGGTCCCGACGCRGGAGCTCGTCCCTCCGTCCCTGCAGCTCAGAGCTCCTTGCTCTTCATTAGCCATAGCTTTTCCCCTATGCTCTGCAGCTGCCAACAGCGATTTCTGTGCAGCAGGAACAGCTCTCCAGCAGCCTCCAACACCAGAAACGCCAGGGTTTGGCTGCCGCGTTCAGAAGCGGCAGGTCTAGCCCAAGGCAGAGCAGTTTCTCCGCTTCAGCCACCCGTGTTAACCAGTTTAACAACTCGGCCCCACCTGAATTAGGCACCGCTCGGTCCACTGCGCGCTCCCAGAGCGGCGCCTCCGAACCAGCAGCTATTTCATAGCATGGACCTGCATCCTCCTGCTTCCAGTACAGACAAATACACAACGGCTAGGAACAGGGCACTATGGAACACACCAGTACACCTCTATAGGAATTGTACGTCTGCCTAAAAACAGCAAACGTGAAGTTAGGTGCCTATGCCAGCAGCAGAGCTCTACATTTTGCTCTGAAAAAATGAAACACATAGGGGATGTGCTCAAAATCAGGTGAATTTTTAACTGGAGGCAGAGCCCACACAACGACAAAAATTCATTTCCGGACAAAGTCCGCTTCCAAGGCTGCAGTTTCCAACAACACTACAAATTTAAGACTGTGCTTTTCAGGATTACAGTCTAGTTATATTTTGAGAAACCAACCAGCCTGCAATTCTGCTGGGGCAGCTGTAGGGATTTGTTTGTTTGGAAAGTGAAACCGGGGAAATTTCACACAATACCAAAGCACAGCCCCAAAGCTGCTCCAACCGGGTCAGGTCGGTTCCTGGGTGTAATTCCCACTTCTCCAGGCAGGGAGGTTGCAGAGCTGCAGCTCCACGGCCCCGGCACACAAGTACCCAGCAAGCTGCTTCCTCCATTGCATTCCTCTCCCTGTGGCTCTCATTGTAAACCAACACCCAGGTATTTAAAACATGTTGGTTCAATGCTGGCTGCAGAGAGCAGGGCTGGAAATACTCCAAGTTACCGTAACTTGCTGGCATCAGAACACCATTTCAATTGAGCTATTAGCCCGATTATAGTATTTGCACTCTCATTTTATTCAGAGCAAAGTAAAGTTCAGGATACTTTGAAGTCTATGCAATATTCAAAACAGTTGTTAAATTATTAGGTAATTAGAGCTGGAAATAATGTAAAGCTTAGAATTTCCTCATCACACAGCTAATATCGAGATAACTGGTCTGAAAACTGAACTGTCAAGGAAATTTATCTCCAAATTCCAAATCAACTCGCAGAGCAAAGTCTCCACAAAGACAACATGGGATAAGCTCAAGTGGAACTACTATAAYAGTGGGGGAAAAAGTGCTTTTGGTAACAGTAGACTAATGTCTCAAAGTGCTTTTAGTTTGTCAGCAATTAGAAAGTTTTCTCTACAAGTTTTTACATTTATCTTACAGTGTTTCTTGGCAATTTTACTTAGCTGGAACATTAGGTTTGATCCTGATTCCCCGAAGTTCGCTACTGCAAACTTTGCTCCGGTCAATCGGGTTGTGTTGCTCTCGGCGCAGCACAAGGCACCTTGCTCGGGGCTGCTCGGGTGCAGGGAAGCACCCACAGCAGCGGCCAGCGGGTGGGAACGGGTCCCGCAGCGACGAGCATCCCCCCAAAGGCACTTCATGCACCAAGAGCATCACATCCTTTGCAGCTGCACTGCAATTGAGCTGCTTGGTCTCCTTGGTTAGACAAACTAAAACACACATTTTTGGCAGCGTATTTCTTTTGCAAGTCACAGCCTTCAGCTCTGATAAAGAAAACTAAAACAAACCCCCCAAAACCTATTCAGTGTTTGCGCACTTGAAAGAACACCCGGGATGCTCTTTTGCTTTCTCCTCAGAAGACCTACAAGGCTGCAGTTTTGGAAGTAATACTCAGGGGTGGGGAAGAGGTGAAAGGAAGCGTTTGCTCACGTAACAGCTCGCAGCTCCTCAGCAGGAATGCTCCATGACCATCTTTTAGATGGCTCCAAGTCCCAGCTCCGCTCCTTCCGCTGGTTCCCGCAGGGAAGGGGGGATCCGGGGTTCGTCCCGCGCGGCGGCCGCGGAGCAGCTCCCAGGAGGAGCTACCGGTGGCCGCTCTGGTAGCCGTAGGAGATGGGCTGCCGTGCGCCGGGCCTGACCGTGAAGGTGTTGCTGGGCCCGCCGTACTGCGGGCTGCCGTGGACAGGTCTGCAGGGAAACCCAGAGAGGGTTACCAAAAGCCACGGAAATCACCTGTATTTAGTCAAAACAGCAATGCTTTGAAACGGCCTCCASCTCCCCCGGATGGGTGCACCTCGTCCCTGCACTGTGTCCCTCCTCAGGGTGCCCCTCCATGGGGAGCACCCCAACCCCGGACGGGAGCTGATGGAGCAGCAACACCCAGCCCCAAACGCATCCCAAGAGGGACCCCGGCTCGCTCCATGAACCAGCTGCTAGAAGGACACCCTTCTCCGCAGCATTCCCGCGGGTGCTGCAGCCGCCGGCACGCACCGCACGGCAGCTCGTCCTTGCGACCRCCGTGAGGAGCCCCTGCGGCCACGGGGCAAACCTCAGGTCTTGGTTAAACATGGACGGGGGAAAGAGTGGTCGGGGCAAAGGGCAGAGGTGGAGGGAAGAACAAAGATCCCAGCCCAGGCTCAGAGCAAAGGAAGAGCTGGGTGCTGGGTTTGGAGGAGCATCCAAGGCTGTAGAGGATGTGACTCAGGAYGAAGCTGGGGACGAGCCTGGGGAGGCACCTACCTGCTGGCCGGGGCCGCGGCGGCGGGCGAGTAATCCCCGTTGAGCCCCTTGTACTTGGCCTCGCTAGCAGCACTGCCGTACGGCGCCGCCTTCCCGGGTGCATCGGCCGCCGTCCTCCTGCCCGCGGCGCCGCGCAGGCCGCCGCCGGCCCGGCGTGCGCTCTCCGCCGCCGGGAAGGCGCCCGTGCCGAAGGCGGCGAGGCCACGTGGTGCCGCGGCCGAGCGCGGCTGGGAGCGCTCGGGCTCCGACAGGTACAGGCGCTTCTTGATGAGCGGGCGGCCGCCGGGCTCGGGGCAGAGCGCGGCCAGCTCGCCGCTCCTCCTGCCCGTGTCTGCGCCGGGCGGCTCGGGGCTCGCGCCGTAGTCGCGGCCGGGCCAGCGCAGGGACTGCGGCGCTCCGGGGACGCCGGGACGCTCGTGCCGGGCCTCGCGGCTTGGTGCGGCATCGGCGTCGTTGCTGAACTCTGGCGGCGGCGGGATGATCTCATAGCCCAGCAGCTCCCCGTTCTCCTCGTCCTGGCCGGGCCCGCGGGGCGGCGAGGCTGCGCGCGGCGCCGGAGCCTCGCTGGACTCCAGGAGGCCTCGCACCAAGGCGGAGGTGGCCGCGCGCCGGCCGTGCGCCCAGCCCGGCGCCGTCTCCCCGCCCGGCGCCGCCGCCGAGCGGCCCTGCTCGGAGGAGCTGGAGAAGGACGGCGGCGGCTTCTGCCCCTGCGCCGGCCCGGCYGAGCTGGGCCGCGGCAGCCGCTCTCCTGCCYGGCCCGGCGAGCGCGGCACCACCACGAAGGAGCAAGGCCGGGACTCGTCGCGGTAGAAGCTGCTGGAGGCCGTTTCCAGCACGGTGACGTTGGGCTTCTGCATGCCCCTCAGCTGCGGCCTCTGCTCCGTGTCGCTGCCGCGCCGGGACGGCGCCGGGCGGCCCCTCTGTGCCCGCTGCTTGGCGGCCAGGAGCAGCGCCATGGGGGAGCCCCTCTCCACCCTCTCGCCCGTGATGGGGTGGATGAGCGCGTCGTCCTGGCCCGCTCTCGAGGGGCCCTGCGGTGCCGCGGGGCCCAACATGTGCTCAGAGGGATGCGGGTTCCTGCCTTTTCCATCGCCGTTCCCGCCGGAGCTCGCGGCACTCAGTCGGTCCGTGGAGTCAGCCCTGGCACGATGGGGTTTGTACTGGAAGAGCAGCGTGTCAGGCTGTGGAGCTGGGCTTTGCACAGGGGAAAACCTCTCTGAAGAGGAGGGCGAAGGAGAGGCTGGGACCGGGAGCTCGTCCTTGGGCTTCTCGGGCTGCTGCGGGGCGCTCAGGCTGCTGCTGGGGGACACCCGCTTGGGACCCGGGCTTACATCCTCCAGAGCCTCCCTGGCCGCGGGGGCAGCAGGCGCCGGCCGATCCTCCTGCACCTTCTCCTGCTCCACGGCAGCAGCCACAGGTTGGGGCTCCCCCGGAGCTGCTTTGGGCAGCACGGAGCCACCTGGATCAGCGCGGCCCGGACCCGGGCACAGGGAGGCACCGCCGTCCTCGGGGCTCTGCTTGGGGCTGCCCAGTCCCGGGGAAGGTTTTCCTTCTTTCTTCGGCGACAGCATGGCCTCCAGCTCATTCCTGATTTTCATAACGCTGCTGGGTTTGCTCTCGGGAGTGGGAGGAACGGCACCGGAGGGGCTCTCCCTGGCAGAGGCTGAGCCGATAGGGATCTTCCCAGTCTTCTCCCTTTCCTCGCCTTTGGGTAGCCGCGAGTCCTTCCCGATGGGTTTAGTGAGCTTGGGCCCTTCGGAGCCAACCGCATCAGAGCCAGCACGATGGGCAACGCCGTTCATGGCCCGGGGAATCCCTGGCCTATCCACCCGCCTGGAAGAGGACAGCAGGGCCACGAGCTCGTGTTTCAGCCTGTTCAGGTTACTGGCCTCCTTCCAGTCCTCGTCCGCGGAGGGATAGTCCGGAGGCGGCAGGTCCAGGTCATTGGCGGTGAGAAACTCCAACCTGGCAGACGAGTCGTCCTCGCCCTTCCTTGGCCGGGGAGCCTTCTGCGAGTGGGATGCGGGCGGCTCGGCACCGGGCAGCCCCGCGGCGCCGCGTTCCCGCTGCGTGGCCCCGGCTGGGCGCGCGGCCGCCGCGGGGCGGATGGTGAAGCAGGGCGGGAGCGGCGGCCGCACGTGCGGCTGCCGGGGGACGCGCTGCTCCGGCGCCGCCGCGTCCGGCACGGGCATGGAGGAGGAGCGGGCGGGCGCCGGCGGCGGCACCTTGGCGGCGCGCGGGAAGGTGAGGTGCGGCTCGGCGCCGCCCGGCGCCTGCCCCCCATCCCGCCCGGGGSCTGCCGCCTCGGCCCCACGCGCCGGCTCCTCCGCATCCGCCTGCCTCGCGTTCAGCACCGTCTCCGACTTCCACTTGGAGATGCCCCCGGAGAAGGGGGGCGCCGGCGGGATGAAGTCCGGAGGGGCCGGCGTGCCAGGCGGGGACGAGGCGGGTGGTGGTGGCGGCGCCACGGCAGGCGGCGGGGGCACCTCGATCTCGGGCAGCGCGGGCGTCGCGGGGGCCACTGCTGAGGGCAGCGGCGATGCTGGGACTGGTGGCGGTGACAATGCCAGGACCGGTGACAATGCCGGGACTGGTGGCGGTGACGACGCCGGGACCGGTGACAATGCCGGGACTGGTGGCGGTGACGACGCCGGGACCGGTGGCGGTGACGGCGATGTCGGTAGCGACATTGGGAGCGGTGGAGGTGGCGGGGGCACCGAGGGCGGCGGGGGGATGTGTTCGTCCAGGGCCTCCCCGTCAGTCACCTGCGGGCGCAGGTCCCCGGCCGAGCTGCACAGGTGGCAGCTGCCGTTGAGCTGGGAGCCTGCGAGGAAGCAGAGCAGAGCGGCTGCAGCGCCCTGGCCACCCGGGACCAGCCCGCCCCGGGAACGCCAGGCTAAGTGCTTGCTTAGCCACACCGAATGCTTTCAGTGCCTTGCAAAGTTACAGAAATGGAGCCTATTAACAGAAGTTTGGTTTTAGTAACAAACTCTTGGGATCAGAATATGCTGCAGTTGCTTTGGGGAGCACCCCAAGGGCTTGGCCTTGCTAACACTTAGCACCTTCAGGGGCTTAGCAGGGGGATGCTTACCCAGAGCTGCTTTTTCTTCAAAGTCCTCAGGCACGGACGGTGTCGGCACAGCCACCCCATGGGATTCCTGCGCGTTCTGCAAGAGTCACGACACGGAGCTGTTAGTTCTGTGCTCGAGGTAATAGAAAACAGAGGTGACAAGTCTCGGGCTGTGCAGCAAGTCACCTTGCTAGACCCCTTGGCGGAGTCTAGGGCTAATGCTACACATTGAGGTCCCTGTGGTAGCAGCTGCTGAKGGGGGAAGTGCTCAACGTGTCCCAGGCCACAGGGACAGACCCTCCCCGTGCCTGGGATGCACCAGGTGGCATGTGGCTATTTCGCTGCCAAGCTCAGGTGCAGATCCTGGGATCAGCAGTGTTCAACCGGCACATAACAACAGCTCCCATGCAGGTTACTGCTCTCTGGCAAACGCTGCTGGCACAAAGTCACCTACAAAATGCAGCCGCCAAAGTGCCAGAGAGAATTCCAGCTTTTGGGGAAACTCTGTCCACAGCAGAGCTGAACCCCCTGGGAAAGCTGCTGCTCACACGGCTTGTGTTGCAGGGTTAGGCCCTTCGTGTTCCTGCTGCAAATTCAAGGCAGCCGAGCTGCTGCAGGACCGTGCAATTTAGCAACCCCCGCAGTGGCGAGGGYGCTTACGGCCGGGCAGTTTGGATAATTGCAGCCACCCACGGCAAGATATTCGCGGCGCGCTGACTCACGCGGGGCGCCGAGCGGGGCTCCCGCTTCTCACGCCCGCCCGGGGCTCGCGGCCTCCCTCCTCCCTGACCGCGGGCGAGGGCTGCGCCGGCAGCCGCAGCAGGCACCGGCGCGCCCAGCACGGCGCTCGCGCCGCCTCCCCTGCCCCGCGCCAGCGCCCGCTGCGTCAGGCTCGGGAGCGGCACGCGGCCGGACCCGCGAGCGACCAGACCCGCGTGCAGCCGGACCCGTGCTCTGGCRCCAGCAGCATCGTGCGCTGGGAGCAGCCAGGACCCGCTGTCAGCTGCACCCTGGGCACCCGCCGCTCGCAGCCCCTCATACAAAGGGAACGTTTTCCAGCCATCGGTCTGCGCCACGGCCACACTCTGCAAGCAGAAGCCGAAATAAGGATGGAGCTGGTGCCCRTTTCCCAGGCCTTATCACTGTTTCTGCAGGAGATCCCTGCAGGATTCCGAAGTCTCCTCGAGCAAAGGTTAAGCCCTGCTCCGGCGGGAGCCTCATCCCGGGCTCAGTGCTGCATTAGCATTACAGATCCCCAGGTCCACGAGAGCCAACAGGGCTGTGCTGACTCCAGCAGCAGCCCAAGCTCCTTGGGAAAGAGCCGCAGGACCCTGGGATCCCCCTCCTGCTCTTGGAGGAGCATTAAGGAAACAGACAGTGCCTGCCACGTCTGCCATGCTGCAGGTGACCATGAATCCTCTGTGGCACAGGAACGAGCTGCGGGGAGACAGGAGGGAGGGCTTCCCACCACGGCCGGGAGGCTGCTCGGCTCAGAGCTTGGCCGTTCTCCCCGCACTGCAAGCACCAGGATGGGGGAGAAGGAAGGTGGACAGCACCAACGCCGAGCTGGAGGAAACTCCATAGACCATTAGCAGCTTCAGCCACATCATTTCAACAGGTCCTAGAAATGGGCAAGCCCGTTCCACACCAAGGGCTYGTGCTGCACTCGCGGCACCTCTCGAATCAGAGGCCCATGCGCAGGGTGCGAGCGGCAGCGCCGGGGCCGAGGGGAGGGATCGCGGCCGCCACCAGCCTCCCGCTGAGTCAGCGCGCGGGAACCTGCATTTCCAGTCCGGGGCGCCCCCGCCGGGCTTCCCTGCCCACCCAGGGTCCCGCTCGGCACCGGCTTTCCCTGGAGACACCGGGCACGGCCTCTTGCCTCTGGTGGCCCTTGGTTATCCCAGGACCATTCATGCTGCATATTCCTGTGCCACACATTCCCATGCATGAAACATTTAGAAGCTCTAAACAGCAGCAATAGCCCAGGTGCTCTCTGAAGACACGGTGCTGTTGCCACAGCGCTGCTCTGAGCCCGCACTGAGCCCCGTGGTGGGAGAGGAGCCCCAGGTCGCAGCCCTGCACAGGTTACGCCATCCTTGGGGCTCCAACAYGACTGCATCCACCGGCCTCCTTCCTTCAGAGGCATCGCCGGGGCAGGAGCACCTGGCAGCACCCATGCAGCCCATGACTTCCTCACGCCTCTCTTGAGCACCTGGGTGACCCCCCTCATTGCCCTACAGCAAGGGCAGTGCAAGCCCATGAGCTCCTAGTCACCCCGCTAAGCGCAGGTGCGCCCTGTGGCTCCAGAGGATGAGGATGTGCACGGAGAGGAAGGCATTCCTCTTCCCAGGAGGACGCACTTGCAAAGGAGGCCTTTTAAGTGCATTCTGTCGTTAACAGTGACCAGCTCCTGCTGCCTCCAAGGTGCTCGTGCTGCCGAGGGGACGTCCCGGCAGTACTGGGGGCTCCGGGGCCCTGAGGAAGCCGAGARGCAGAAGGCAGCGCTGCAGCCCACACGTGGCTCCCACCACGGCACACGGGGCGCCGAGCAGCGGCGCCTCCAGCACCCGCTCCACTTGCGCCCACCTCCGCTCCCACCTTTGGGAGGGAAGGAGGCGGCAGTGGCTCTGCGTAGCCCTACGGCGAACGGCAGGACGTGCCGCCCTGCCCGCCCCGGCTGCGTGTTTTCCAACCCGAGGTATTTGACATTCCCCTGCAATGTTTGCTCTGGGCGGGAGGAGATGCTCTAGGAGGGCGTTTTGTCCCTCGGAAGGGATTTCCTGCAAGTCACAATAATGGAGCGCTTGCAATTCGATGGCCCAGAGCAACCGCGCTGGGTGTGCAGCCCCACCGCCGCTCCGCGGCGGGTACAAAGCGCCGCACCAGCCAGATCCCATCTCCACACTCAGCATTTTCTCTTAATTGGAGGACTCAGGGCTGATAAAGCTGCCGCCCAAATATCTCGCCTAGGTCCACTGTAACCCAGGAACTGGGATCGCCTGCTAATCCCTCGTATCCACCTTCATTAGAGAGCGGTTCTGCCTGGCACTGCTCTCTCGCCCGGGGAGGGGGTGCTCACCAGGGGCAGGAACGTCAGCAGCGGCCGCACTCGGGGCCGAGGTTTGAGCGTGGCCGTGCCGCAGTCGCTCATGGTGCCGAAGCGGTTCTCGCCGTAGTACACCTCAATCACGTCACCTGCGAGGAAGGGAAGGCCGTTAGTGGCGTCGCGCTATCGGCAGCGGGAAGAAACACAGCCACACGCCACCGGGTTTAGCAAAGCGCAGGGGAGACTTTGCAATATCCGCTCCCCGGAGCGGCTCTGGAGCCCGAGGAGCAGCTTGGAGATGGGCTGAAGGTGCCCGAGGAGACTCCAGGGGCACCAGGCCATGCTCGTGCATGCAGGGAATAATGACCCTTAATGGCAAACACAGTACTTGAGTTTAAGGAGCAGCACAGAGCAGAGGTCAAGCCCATTCAGAAAGGGTTATTTCTAGTAGTAAACAAATACTAGAACTCCACCTTGGAGAGTCAGAAGTCATGGCCGTGGCTTTCAACTCTTTCTTTCCATCCCCAAGAAAGCCAGGCGAGTGCCGGGCACTGCCGCTCTGCCAGCGATGCTGCACTCCCACTTTTTCCCGTGCCCCTTTTCCCCAGGTGCCGGAGGAGGCACCGCAGCGGCTCCCCAGCRCTGGCAGCGTCCGGCTGCCCGGCTCGGGGTCACAGTTAGTGCCGGGCGAGCAGGGCCTGTTGGCACCGGCAGAGCCCTCGGGCTCCGATGATCATCGCAAAGAGCCTCGGTGTCTTCCCCAAACCACCCCTGGGAGCAGGGCCCGGCGGCTGGGCCGGCGTCGCGGCCGGGGAGGACGCAGGTACCGCTGGGGCCCAGCCCTGGCCTGCACCTTGAGCCACACCCCTCCGGGACGGGTTACATCTGACAGCGAATAAAGCTCGTAAAATTACTTTAATTACGCTCTTTGTGCCCGATTAGCAGCGTGAATTAACAAGCAGAAGCAGCGACGCGCGGAAACGAAGCGCGGAAACCCCAGCGTGGCCGGGAGGAGGGACCCAAATCACACGTCACCCCGGAGACGGGCACGAAAGCAAAGTGCAGGGGACCGGGAAGGGCCAGGGGCCAAAAGGTGCTGATCGGAGCGAGACCCCACAGGAATGTTCCCACCCAGCAGGCTCCGATAGGAGCATCAATGGACTGGGGAAAGCAAACACCCTCCCGCTCCTCCCCGAAGGGGCAGCTCTTAGCAGCAAACCATTCCTTAAAAGAATTTAAAAAAAAAAAAAAAAAACCAAAACCCACAGCTCGGGAGCAGCTTCCTCAGAGTGGGTTTCATCCTCAAACAGAGCGTTTCTGTCAAGGATCGCATAAAAATGAGCAGCTGCAGAGGAGGGCGGTGGAGGTTGCGCAATGCCCCAAGCAAGGGAAAGGGACGGGCTGTGTTTTCGGTGCCGTGACATTCCCAGGCTGGAGATCCCYGGGGAATCCTGCTGTGCCGGAGCCTGGGCAGTGCCAGGGCAAGGAGCCATCTCTCCTGCACCTCCTGCCCCCAAGGGAGGATGCCCTGGGGCCAGGGCCTTGGCATCGCCCTGCAGTGCTGTGTCACCAAGCAGGTCCCCATCCGACCAAACCAAGGAAGCCAGAATGGGAAAGCGGAGCCGGAGCCGCTCGGCATCCGAAGGGACGGGAGCTGAGCATTAAGCGAGTCACCACTGAGACTCGGTGAGAAAGTGGATTAAAGATCATAGGGCTGTTTGATCCTAGATTACTAAGCATCTCCAGCCCGAATGCGCTTAATTAAAAAGCAAAACGAAGTGCTTGCAGTGGTGTTTTCTCTGCTAGATAAACAGGACTTGCCTGCTGGGAGCCCAGCCCCGGCAAGGCCTGCGCTGCTCGGCCGCCATCCCGGGAGGAGGCGGCGAACGCGCCGGGACGGGCGGACGGCAGTGACGGTGCGACCCCCTCGAGCCCCTTTCCCTCCCCGGTGGGCAGCTCCAGCCATCGCAGCGTGTGCTGTGCCCGGTCACCCTGGGACCGAGCCGGGGTCCCCGGGCCGCAGAGGTGCCGGTGACGTTGGCTGCTGCTCAGGAACCTCTGAGTCAGGGGCCCGTCACACCTCCGCCCAGGCCCGTTTCCTTTTGCTCCTTGAGTCAAGGCTTGCACAAGCCCTCCCTGCCCGCGGCGCCTCGTGCACGGCCGCCCGCGGCAGCGCCCACGGCCCCGGCGCCCGTCGCGCCGCCGAGCGCTGCTCCCGCAGCCCAAGCCGTGGGCGCCGCAGCGCTCCAGGCACCGGCTCCATGCTCAGCGCCAGCCCCGCTCGTCCCGCACCCTCCCAGCTGGGTCCCCAGGACAAGCAGTGCAGGGAAACCGCAGAGAAACCACAGTGAATCCTGTGGAAAAGGGTCCCCATGCACCCGCCCTGAGGGAACTGCCTGGCGAGGAGTGACCAGGGGCTGGCGGTGGAGGGAGCCACGGCTACAGGGGAGAAAATGGCCCCGGACGGATCCTTGGACCCTTTCAGCCAGGCCAGCGGCACAGAGGGGCTGCAGCCTCACAGGAGCCCGGGGCTGCTCTCAGGCAGGTGGCGGCTATGCAGAAACCTTTACGTTTTCCTTACATTTCCCTTGCAGAGGGTGATTCCAGGTGCTCTGGAAGCTTTAAACAGGTTGGAACTTGCAGTTTTGTAACCCAGCCATATCAGATGGCTCCTTGAGCTTTGCCACTCCGCAGACAGGGACTGTGGTGGTGGTGGCCAAGCTGCCCTCCCCACGGTGGCCACCAGCTGCGACCGGGCACCTGGGGGCAGCAGGACCTCCCTCCCCCCAGGCAGCGACTACAAGGAAAGGGCAGAGCAGAGAAGCAGCAAAAGCAGAAACCCAAATCAGTGACAACAGGAGGGGGAGCGAGACTGACCGGTGCCCCCCGCGCTCTCGGACGTGACCTCCTGCGTGAAGATCCAGGGCGGGTTGGTGGCAAAGAGCGAGGTGGCGGCGGGGCCCTGCGCCTGCTTCCTGCCGAAGAGCCGGCTGAACGTGCCCTGCATGGCCTGGTGCTTCTTCATGGTGCCGCGCGCCCGGCACCAGCGCCGGTACCGGCCCGGGCCAGCGGCTCCCGCAGCCGCCGCGGGGCCGCCCGGCCGCACCTGCTCCCACCTGGTGGCACCTGGCCCCGCCCCCGGCC